AGAGGAAGAAGGGAAGAAAAAAGTGATTTGTTTATCTCTAAGTCAGCCCCACTGCTCATAAAAATGCACTATGCCACAGCAAAGATGAAAACAGGACATCTTCCTGACAATCACGTACAGGTGTTTTATGGCATGTCTGCTAGTTAATTACTTCCATGTGCCCTGATCAGAGCTCCTATAATCCTGTTAGGTCTCACTGAGCTCTGAAATGCTCCAGAGGCTAAGGCAAAAAGCAGGCAGTGATCTGATAGCTCCTGTTTGGAAGACAAGCCAAGGAGGAAACTGTTAGAAGTTGGTATCCAATAAAATGTCAATTGATTCTTTGCATGTTTTCGTGCTGAAGTGCTCCCCTCTATGTGTATTTATCAGAAATCAGACTCTCAATCACCAGAAAAGGTGTTCTCAGAAATTAATACTTAGGTACAGGATCCCATTTTTCCCTTGTTGCACTGGAAGTGACATGTTCCATTGTAAAGCAGAAAGGAAGCCTTAAATTTGGCATATTTTCAATAACACATGCTTTTACCATCAGCTTTTCTTGCTTTTATTTATATCTAGCAGCAAAGTAGAACAAGCTTTTGACAATTGTAGTGCTAAACACTTCTTATTTCTCTCATGGTAAGAATGGGCCATGATTCTGTATTTGCATGGCTAGAATTGAGTAGCATTGCAGTGGCTTAACAGCAGTAGCAAATAGCATACACAGTGCTATAGGCTTGTGCACCTCCATGCTGCTTGGTCTTTCAAGAAACAGACAACAAAATTCAGACAGAAGTGCTAGAAGAGCTGGGCATGTTCACACACTGTTGTTCTTTTCCACAAGAAAAAAAACCAGAACTTGTCACCACCAATAGGGGAGATTTCAGTTAGATAGAGGAAATTATTTACTGTGGGAGTGGTGAGGCACTGGAACAGGTTGGCCAAGGAAGTCAGAAGTGCTCCATTCCTGGCAGCATTCAAAGCCAGGTTGGATGGGGCTTTGAGCAACCTGGCTTAGGGTGAGGCATCCCTGCCTGTGGCAGGGGGATTGGAACTAGATGATCTTAAAGTCGTTTCCAACCCAAACCGTTTTATGATTCTATGAGAGGAACCAAGATACCCATTGCTGTAGTGGGGCTTAGATGACATGAAGGTAACACAGCAAGGTATCAGCCAAGATGGTTTTAGCTTTGTTGAAATAGCTTAGTATGCAGCAAAATCAAATAATTTGTTTCCCACACCCAAATGAAGAAATGTTAGAAGTACACACATGATGTATAAAGTTTTTCCCAGATAGGAAGCAATGGCAAGTAGCATTTTAGGCATGTCACACTCATACCAGCATTACAAAGATTTAGCCTTCTTCACAGACAGCTATAACAAAAGTTTGGAAGTAAGAAATCCTGACTTCCCTTTTTACTTTAATGGCTGAACGAATGTGTTAGTTTTAGGTTGGGTTTGTTTGGTTTTTTTTGCAGTAATACTACACAAAGTTCACATGCTAACTAAGTTTCTGCAGTGACATGAAATCTGCAATTCTGTAGTGATCTCTTCAAACCATTCACTGCTCAGCACAACCCCTCTTCTTCAAAAGAGGAAAGATAACTCAGGTACTTCACATACCTTTTGAAGATGCATCCTGCTCACATAACTTTTGGAATCTTATCTTCTTTGCTGACCTTCAGAAAGGTTCCTAGAAACTGGGTCTAGGACACAAAAATTGGTTTTAAGCTTAGTTTATCCTCCCCAAAGTGGGGCAATTAGTATGCACTTCTTGCTTCAACTGTTGCTGTGGTTCATATTCTGAACCACATACATAGGGATGATACTTAAGAGTTACTTCACTTCTGTACTTGGGTAACCAAGAGCAAGGAAAAAGCAACAAATATTATAATTACCTATGCTCACAGAATAAAAATGTATATTCAGTGTCTGATTTTCTCTTTCAAGACTGCTTCTGATGCCAGAAGGAAAGCATAATCTACACCTGCGTTTTGCAGAGGACTTCAATAGACAAGTGGAAGACTTCCTACGCTGACCAGAGTAGGAAACAACTTAGAGGTTTTTCTTTTTGCTTTATTTGTGAATTCTAGTAGGCTTTCCATTTTCATTCAAGTTACAGGGAGGTCTGAATCCTGTAATAAAAAATATGAAAGATATTTGCATGAAAATCATAATTTTGATAATATGTAAGCCTCTCAGTAGATCAGAGTGCACCACTCTGCTGCAAGATTTTTGACATGTTTTTAAACTTAATTCTTGCCTCATGGGCCAAATAGCTGTCCAGAGGTGTTAAGAAAGACAGAAAACATGATCTAGAATGCATGCCTTTATGTGCTCTTAACATTAAAGGGCAAAAACATTGCAATAACTGGGATTCAGAGTTGTTACATTGACAAATTTGTCAAAGTTACAAGAGCTGAAACGATAATGGGGTACACTGTTTTAGAGAGCATGCTTCACCACCACTATCAGAAAGTAGTCACTTCGTACACATGCCTGCTTTACAGAAGTTCCTTGAATACTAGGGGACTTAAGCCTCATCCTCCTCTCCCTCCTCCTCGAATT